AAAAAAAAAAATCTATCTATTTATCTGAGAGAGAGAGAGGAGGGGCAGAGGGAGAGGGAGAGAATCTTCAGCAGACTCCATGCTGAGCACGGAGCCCGATGTGGGGCTCGATCCCAGCACCCTGAGATCACAACCTCAGCCAAAACCAAGAGTCGGACGCTTAACCAACTGAGCCGCCCAGGCACCGCATCCTGTTCTTGAACTTCTTATAAGTTAAATCATACAGCGTGTACTCTGTCTGGTTTCTTTCACTTGTAAGTATTTTTAAGGTTCATTCACTTTATTGTATGTATTAGTAGTTCATTATTTTTAATTATTGTATTGAATCCATTGTCCGAATATACTACATCATTTGTTTTTCACTCTCCTGTCGATAGACATGTGGGTTGTAACCAATTTGAGCATATGATGAATAAAGCTACTACAAACATTCAGGTACAAGTCATTTTGTCAATATATGTACTCATTTCTTTTGGGATGTGGAACTGCTAGATCATAGGGTAGACTATACATTTTAAAAATGTAACTTTTTCCATTTAATGTATCCTAGACATGGTTCTATGCCAGCATCTCTAGACTGGCCTCAATTTTTCAAAATGGCAGCACGGTACTTTATTATATGGATATACCGTAATTTCTTTAACCGACATTCTACTGCTGGGCGTTTATGCTACTTCCGATTATTTACTTGAGCCCGGTGCGAGACTTAATCCCAGGACCCCGGGATCATGACCTGAGCCGAAAAGGCAGACGCTTAACGACTGAGCCACCCAGGCGCCCCTACAATTAGTTTTTAAATTAATAAACAGCCTCATACATGTGTCTTTGTGTCCCATCTGGAAGGCTGCATCAAACATTGCTCATTTATAATTTTTACTGACATTGCTAAACTGTCCTCTGGCATCACAGATCCTTTCGGTGTGGCGAGAGCTGGTCTCCTCATCCTCTTGCCAACATGGATACTACCAATCCTGTGGGTTTTTGCAAAATGATGGCAATCTCATGTGGCTTCAAAATGCATTTCTGTGATCTGGGGTGAGGCTGAGAGTCTTTTCATGTTGTCAAAGTGGGATATTCTAGAAATGACAAGGAGATTAAAGCCCAAAAGAGAAGAAGGGGGAAGGAGATAAAGCCCTTTGGGGAGTAAAATGCTCATTCATCTCTGGGGGACAAAGCTCTGAATTCTGGCTGCTCCCTGGGCTCTAGAAGACTGCCTGAGAGGCAGGAGCAGTAGCAGGGCCAGAAAGCGGGGACTCACCCCAGTGCAAACATGCAGATGTGCAGCGCGTCCTCCCCAATGAAGTCCAGGTAAAACACTGCACCTGGAAAGGCAGAAAATAGCCAATATGGGTGAGCTGCTTTCAAATCACCTTCTTGCCAGTCTGTCTATGATTTGGCTAAGCTCTCTTCCCTGCAGGAAACCAAAGTGGTCAGGAGCCTGATGACCAGCAGGGTACATGTTAGAAGAGTGGAATAAAAGTCATTTGGGGGGACAGATTATCTTCTCTTTCTCCTCCTATACCCCTTTTATCTCCATCTTTTTCTTTTCTTTTTATTTTGAGATAATATTAGACTCACAAAAATAGTACAGAGTTCACATGGACCCTGCACCCAGCCTCCTCCCAATGAAACATACTGAGAACTAAACTGCAGACCTTATTTGCCAGTTTTTACACAACCCCCTTCGCCAGTATTTTTTTTTTTAAGATTTATTTATTTATTTTAGAGGGAGAAAGCTAGTGAGCGGGATGCGAGAGGGGCAAAGGGAGAGAGAGAGAGAGAGATAATCCCAAGTGGACTCCGTGCTGAGCGCAGAGCCTGATTCGGGGCTTGATTCCACGACCCTGAGATCAGGACCTGAGCCGAAATCAAGAGTCCTACGCTTAAGCCACGGAGCCACCCAAGTGCCGCTCTCCAGTCTTTCTTAAGATGGAAAAGCAAGGCTTCGAGTTAAGCCGTCATAGCCTTCTAACCTCGCATGGCCAGCAGACGGCAGGCCTGCAGCCCGCTCCCAGAGGCGGGAGTGACACGGGCTTGCCACCCTCACCCGCCCTGCAGCAGCCTCTATCTGGACTCATTGCACCTCCATGGGCTTCTTGCTGTATTCCTGAGCTCCTGATCCCCACCTAGCTTCTGACTCCATCGTGCTGTTGGCTATTCCTTTCAACCCTGCCTGGTCCCAAGTTCTTGACCAGGACTTAAATCTTCACGCTGGGTTCACTTTTTGGCTGCTCTGGGTGGACGCCCCACTGGATCCCCGGGTCCGCTCATCACACAGGCCCTGGCAGGCTGTGTGCCTACCGGGCTCCCGTCTCTACGGGCAGGATGCGAGCAGCGCTCGTCTGAAGCGCAAAACACACCGCCGTACAGCCAGGCTTTCCTCAAAGGGAGGCGCACTGGCTCTTACTGGTCTTTTCACTTTGAAGATTTTCGTCTTCACTGCCCCTTAAAAACAAACACAATCCGGGGCGCCTGGGTGGCTCGGTCGTTAAGTGTCTGCCTTCGGCTCAGGTCATGATCCCACGGTCCTGGGATCGAGCCCCGCATCGGGCTCCTGGCTCAGCGAGGAGCCTGCTTCTCCCTCTCCCTCTGCCTCTCTCCCTGCTCATGCTTTCTCTCTCTGTCTCTCTGTATCTCTGTGTCTCAAATGAATAAATAAAGTCTTAAAAAAAAACCAAAACACAATCTGATATGCTTGTAGCCTCTGAAGCCACCTAGAGAAAGAAAAAAAAGTAGGGGTGGAGTAGAAGAAAGGGGAATATAAAAATGATGACAGGCTACCCGCCACCTATTATGTCACAGATGTTCATATAGTCTTAACCTCTAGAAATTATAGAAAGAAATCTGTGGCCGCTTAGTGGAGCTAGCAGACGATGGCAAAAATTGTTAAAGAAACCTTGTACAAGCTGTATGGGAGTACATGTTGTGCATATTTCAATTCTGGGAGGTGAGTGTTATTCCCATTTTATGAACGTGGAACCAAGGCTCAGAGAGGTTAAGTGATTTTCTTAGAGCCACACAGCTCTGTGTCTGTGCTGGGGCCCAGCTCTCTCTGGCTCGAAATCCTGCACTTTCTCCATGAAACCATATACAACTCTGACAGGCAGAACACGTCAGCAGAGTTGGCCTTCTGACAGAGGCAGAGCCTCATCCCGCCACACTGGGGCAACGTCGCTGCTGCTAAGGTAGGAGACAGAAATCTAGCAGTCGCCACCCTTACCTGCTGTGACGGCAATAGTAGTGGACAGAATGTAGCCCACGCTGGCGATCAAAGAGGAGTCGTACATCTGTGAGGCTTGACTTAGAAACCTTCAATACAAGAGCACTCTGGTCAGTGGGCCTGTCAGAAAGGCTGAGGCGAGAGCTGGTGACAGTAGGCTTAGCTTGAACTATGAAGATAACACATGAAAGAAAGATGCCACCCTGCTGCGTCTCTGGGTTAGGGTCCACACTTCACTCCCATTTGTCCACATAGCCTGAGGTCCACCGCCATTCCCCAAGGGGACCATGCCTTCCCGGTCTCACACCTCTTGCCACATGGTTCTCGCCCACCCGAGATACCCTCCTCCTCATGCTGGTGTCCCCTGCATCCCCACCCCCCTACAAAGGGCCGTCCTGTTCTCGCAAACAGTCCAAGAAACTTCTACGGCACTTACAGCGTTCTGCCTGTCGCTGTCATTATTTTTTTTAAACAAATTTTTTTCTTAATGAAAAAATAATGTGCTCACCGCAACAAAGGCAGGCAAAAGAGAGAGAGAAAATTGGAATCATTCCTCCTCTCTCCATCTACGATCTACACTCCCTCATTTCGGAATATATTCTTTGTCCATCCTCTGCGGAGCATTTTAGGTACTACTACGTAGTTGCTTATATCGTGACGGACTTCCCGCTTGCCTGCACTCATCCGTTCACAGGGCTGGCAATGCCCCGAGGACAGTGACTATTGGTCCTGCCCTGTGGCGGAAGGCCCAGGGGCCTGGCACACAGGAGGCCCTCGGTGGCTGTGTGGTGTGCTGACTGGGTGAGTGAGAAGCTCCCCAGGAGGTGGCCGGGGCACTGGACTCGCCTCTGTAACCCCGGAGTGCTCAGCACGGAGCCTGGTGCTGGGACGGCTCGGGGGTGATGACCAGAATCTCTGTAGTAGGACTCAGGACAGTAATAATCGTAGTCGGCCTAATCATGAAAGAGGCTGAGATTTTCGGGAGGTTATCCTGGGGAACGGCACGGAGAGCTTCATGCTTCTCTCAGGGAGGGGCTGCAGTTATCCTCACTTGTGGACAGGGAACCTGGTCCTAGAGACGCTGAGGCAGAGGCCTGGAGCAGAGCGGCGACGGGCGAGGGGCATGGGATGGGGAGTCTGATGCCTGGGTTCACATCTCAGCCCTGCCCCTTCGGTTTCTCAAATGCAAAATGAGGATGGTATCATCTGCTTCAAAGGGGTTCTGTGGGGGGGTCAAATGAATTTAAGTTCCTGTGAGAGCGGGGTGTGTGAGTGGCTTCCCCTGGTGCCCCCACAGCAGCAGTCACTCCAACAACTGCTCGAGGCTACCGCTGGGGGACGGTGAGCCCTGGCCGCTGGGGGCCCGGGGCCTGCCCTGCCCAGGATCAATCAGCCTCAAGTGCCACACCGAGCCCTGCGCCGTTCACCCTCCTGTCCCCAGCAGGGCCGTCCCAGGCCCTCTGCGGACGACCGGGTCTCAGATGGGAACAAGGCCGAGGCCTACCCTCAGGACCACCGCTTCTGAGAGAGAAACGAGTCTCTCACTCTCTGGGGAAGATTCCTGGAGACAGACAAGAAAGGACAACTTGCTGTGTTCCTTCCACCTGGCAAACAAAGAGATGCCTCATGGGGACCACACAGCTTCTTCTACAGTCCCTCAAACAGACGCCTGCCTTGGAGCAGAAGGGAAGTGAGGCTGCCCCTTCTCCCAGTTTGAGGCAGAGAGAAAAACACATCCACTCCAGGCTTCCTCTTTCAAGAGGCACAGAGTCCCTCCATGGGACCACCCAGCAAATCAGTGACCCCTCTCTCCACAGTGGATGCTGAGCCCTGGTGACGGGCTGTGCTTCAATGTTCTGCCTTCCCTACAGCTTCAAAAACAAATGAAATCAGGCCCAAGAAATGGAAGAGACCCCAAAACGTGGAGAGGCCCAGCAGGAAAAGACTTCGCAACTCACGCGGCCTGGTAGACAGCGGTGGCCACCATGCACACGAACATCACGTAGAAGATGGGGTAGTCGAGCTGCAGGTTCCCCTGTATGGACAAGACGAGCATCCCAGCCACGGCCTTCACAGTTACCACCGTCATGGAGCCTGCAGAGGGTGAACGAGGACGAAGCGGGGGCATCAGACCCTGAAGGTCAGTTTATGACTCCAAAGGACGTGGTGAAAAAGATGGAGGGAGCACTGACAGGGCCACCCCAGGGGCGTGGAAGACGCCACGGGAGGCGGAACTTCTGAGAGCTGCCCACTATCCGTGTGCTCTGTCCAAGAAGAGAGGGAAGCAAAATACCGACAGGCGCTTCCAAGTGTCGCCTCTGAACTCCAGCAAGCAAGGACGTTGAGTTTAAGTCTCTCAACAGCAGAGTAATCAGCGCTGTGCCTGGACCATGGTGGGAGGTCAAAATCATCCTTGAATGGAGACACGAATTTCCTTTGAGGATCATTCTCATGATAATCACAGGGAAAAAAACATGTGGTGTGTCAAGAGCGCTCTCTCTTTTTTTTTTTTATGCTCACTCACTTGTATTTTTAAAAAACATTTCATTAGACAGAGACCTCCAAATGTTTTGGAATCCTACCCCTAGGCACACGCACATACTTTTCCAAAATACAGGTGTTTGTGCATTTTAAAGTGATACTCATGTAACACTGTGCTTATAGGCTATGCACATTATAAAACAGGCGCCGGAGATATCACAGCTCACCTCACCGTGGAGACTGCTGCTTTACCCAGTGGTGCAGAAATGGCTGCCAACTGTCGGACCTCTCCACTATCTCCCCGGCCAAAGCAGGAGTTAAAAGAAACCACCCCCAAGTCCGGGTACAAATGAAGCCCCTTATTCTGGCTGAAGGGCTCGGCTTTCCTGTTTTTCTCCGCTTCTGCTCGTTTTCCCTCTTGCTAACAGCTCATCACACACAGCGGCTTCTGGGCCCCCCACGACCTCGATGACAGTTTCCAAACATCTGCTGTCAGTTAGGACAGGCACTTTCATGAGGGTGTGTCCCTGTTAGTGAGAAGGGGACAGAGGGAGAGCGGCCAACGCTCCTTAGAACCTTCTGGCCTCCCTACTCGCCAGAGAGGACATTTGGGGACCGTGACGTCCCAATCTGCTTTGAAAACAAGATCACCAAGGAATGGACCACTGATATTCGCTACTCCAGGAACAAACCTCTACCGAGTTATGCTCCCTGAAAGACGCTGGTCACAAAAGCCACCTATTACAGCGTTCTGTTTATACTGTATACTTCAAACAGGTGAATTTTATGGTATGTAAATTATATCTCAATAAAGCTGTTTTATTTTTATTTATTTATTTATCTTTCTAAAGATTTTATTTTATTTGACAGAGAGAGACACAGCGAGAGAGGGAACACAAGCAGGGGGAGTGGGAGAGGGAGAAGCAGGCCTCCCGCTGAGCAGGGAGCCCGATGCAGGGCTCCATCCCAGG